GGGTTTTAATTTGTTAAGGCTTTATTCAATTTGGGCTTTTTGTTTTGGTAGAAGTGTGGAAGAGCACAGAAAGCGATGGGTTGATTTGTAGTTTATTGAAACAAATACAAAATCAAGATAAAATATTTATGAAAAATAGTTCAAAATGTCTAAATTGTATGCTTATGTACTGATTGCTAATTGAATTGCATATGTCAAAACACATCATCAACAAGTAAAATTCTTGCATTCCAATTGTGTTGGATTGCCAAGCAATATTATTCAGCAGGAAACCAGATGTATTATTTTCATGGGCTAATTTCTCTGATGAAAACACAAAGCATTAGTCAAACTTAAAAATGGAAGCCCTGATAGAAAGCAAAATTAGCTCATTTACAATTTGCTCTTCCCTACTATATTTATCTAATATTCATCTAATTATACCATATAGACCTAAGATAAACATTTAAAAAATAAAGTTAAAAGTTATATGTTGTTTTCACTGTAATAAAATGCAGTAGCCTTTTAATCATGGGATAAAACAGGTTGAATTTTTAAAGCCATACTTGTGTTTTAAATTAGGCCAAGCATATTGCATTGTTAGCTAAATAACTAAAATTGACTGTTCTATTCAAAATTGAACTGATAATCTTCACACTATAGTATATATATATATTTTTACTCCAAATGTTGTCAGAACATAGCATATACTTTAAAAAAAAAAAAAGAACATAAGTTTAGAAAAGACAAACCTGGACTCTAATCTAGATCCAACCACCTAATGGTTGTTTGAATGAAAAATATTTATAGATACGTATAGACTTCTTCATCTGTAAAATCCCGAACCGGTTCCTTCTCCCCAAGCCAGCCCTCCTGAACAGGGCCCTTTGTTAGGATATTTCTGGGAAGAAGGTCTTTTGTTAGCAGGTTTTTAAACATCACGTACAGGAAGTTGGAGAGGTTAAACAAGTAGATATCAATAGAAAGCAGAACTATAGCTCTGCAGAGTCGAGACGTGAGAGTCCTTGCCCGCTCTTTTCCATTTCCCTCTCTCATCTGCAGTCCCTCCAGAGAATGTCCTCTCCTTCCCCCAGTGCACACGGGCATCTGCGCCACCATGCCTGCTCAGAGTGGCTCCTTATGCAGACACCAAGGTCCAGAGTCGGCCACGGGGCCCAGACATTCTTCTAGGGCAGATGGGCTCCTTTGGAACCAGCTGTCACGCACACTCGAGTGCGGCTGTCTGGAAAGTCCGCGTGGGCTGTGCCTGGCTGTTCATGCGGAAGCGAGCGTGCCCTGTATGTAAACAGACATGAGCTACGTTTTCTCGTACCTTGGCAGGACGTTTCACTCTCTCCGGAGCTGCCGCACAGCCATGCAGCGCGGTCTACCGGCAGGATCGAAGCCTGGTTCCACTCCGAGCTCTCCGCTTTGCTGTGTCACCTTGACGGTGACTCAAAGTCTTGGTTGAACTTTCACCCCTTCACCCGGTTAGGAGGGACACCACTGAGGCGTGTTAGCGAGATGCAGGCGTAGAAAGTGCACACGTGTCTGCACCGAGCAAGCGCTCACGTGTCAGACACGGGGTGCGGCTGAAGATGGGTTGCTCGCCGCAGCGTCTGAGCAGCGAGCTTCTCTCCGTGCAGCGAGACAGATCTCTCCCGTCTCGGCGTCTCCCGTCTCTCTGCTGACGTTCGAAGCTCTTAACGGTGAGATGTAGGGAGAAGAGGTGGATTTCCTGCACCTCAGCCTACTCCAAAGACGGTCAGATTGCACTTGATAAAAACTTGCCAGGCTTTGCTGTGACCTCTGTTTTCTTTCTTCTTCTGTTAATATTTCTACAAATTATGTAATGCCTCGTAGGATATCTTACTCATATAGACACACAGAACATAATTGGGCCCCCCCACACCCGCCGCACGCTCCGTCCGCTCCACTGGGCGGGCAGTGATCTTTCTAGAGTGTGATCCGGAGCTGGTCACCCTCCACCCCGGCAACCCCCAAGTCACTTCCTATCAGCCTTTTCTGTTTTATTGTGGTGAAATGTATATACCTTAAAATTTACCATTTCCACCTTTTAAAAGCATACAGTGGGGGTGGTAGTAACCGCATTCACAACACTCACTGGGCGGCTGGCAGTGCTGATCTGCTCCATAACCCTTTCATTGCCGGACACACGAGTTTATTCTCTCGTGCTTGGAAGAGATGCTTTGTATGATTTCAGTCATTTCGAATTTGTTGGACCTTGTTTGTGACCTAACGCGTGGTCTTTCCTGGAGAAGGTTCTGTGTGCACTGGCGAAGAAAGTGTGTCCTGATGTGGCTGAGTTCTTTCTATTATTCTTAGAGTAGAATCCGAACTCCTCACTGTAGCTGGTAAATCCCACAGGAGCTGGCCCTGAGCAGCCCCTCCTAGCACTGCGTCCCTCCAACTCTTCTCTTAACTCTTGCTCATCAATTTAAACTTTAGTGTAATTGCAATAATGTATCTTTTGATAAAACGTGGAATAATTACAATGTATCTTTGTAGAAAGTTTAAAAATACACGGAAAAAGCTTTTACACGAATGTTCATAGCAGTTGAAAAAAAAAATCCAAACATGTGATCGTCTGACAAATAGATAAACAAAATGTGGTATGTCCATATGATGGAATGTCATTCAGCCATAAAAAGAAATGAAGTTCTGATACATGCTACACCGTGGATGGACGTTGAAGACATTGTGCTAAGTGAAAGAAGCCTATCGCAAAAGGCCACATAAGATTGTATGTCCATTTATATGAAATATGCAGAATGTTCAAATCCATAGAGACAGAAGGAAGATTAGTGCTTGTCAGGGGCTGGAGGGAAGGGGAAAGAGGAGTGACCATTTAATGCATATTGGGTTTCCTTCTGGGTGATGAAAATGGGTGATGGTTGCATAACATTGTGAATATACTCAATGTTACTAATGGTAAGTCTTATGTATATTTTACTGTAATAAAATATTAGTCCAATTTTTTAAAAAGATATGGATATAAATAGAAGAGCAAACAGAAAAAGATCATTTTGATATAATATTTCTATTGGTGATTGGAAAAAAAAACACCATAGTGCTAAGACCAAAGTCTAAAGTTTTAAAAAGTTCGGGTACAGTGGCTCACACCTGTAATCCTAGCACTCTGGGAGGCCAAGGCAGGAAGATTGCTTGAGCTCAGGAGTTCAAGACCATCTCTACTAAAAATAGAAAAATTAGCAGGCCATGTGTCGTGTGCCTGTAGTCCCAGCTACTTGGAAGGCTGAGGCAAGAGGATTGCTTGAGCCCAGGAGTTTGAGGTTGCAGTGAGTTGTGATGATGCCAATGTAGTCTACCCAGGGTGACAGAGCAAGACTCTGTCTCAAAAAAAAAAAAAAATAAAAAAACCATAAATGATGAGATTACTTTTTTACTTTATCCAGTGTCGAGTCTTGGTATAAAGTGGATAAAAAAAATCCAACTTTTTGTTTGTTGGCAGACTCCTTTGTGTACATCTGAATTCATATGTTGAGTGTTACCATAGATATTTTTTTTAACCAGTTTAGATTAACAAGATAAAAGCTTACACTCCGGAGCTATATCCTTGCCTCAGTCAAGATTGCAAAGAGCTCTTTGTTAATAATTTTGTGTTATTAAAGAACATGACTGGGAAATAGATTCATCATCGGGTTTTAATTTGTTAAGGCTTTATTCATTGGGCTTTTTTGTTTTTGGTAGAAGTGTGGAAGAGCACAGAAAGCGATGGGGTTGATTTGAGTTTATTGAAACAAATACAAAATCAAGATAAAATATTTATGAAAAATAGTTCAAAAATGTCTAAGTATGCTATGTACGATTGCTAATTGAATTCATATGTCAAAACACATCATCACAAGTAAAATTCTTGCATTCCCAATTGGTTGGATGCCAAGCAATATTATTCAGCAGGAAACCAATGTATTATTTCATGGGCTAATTTCTCTGATGAAAACACAAAGCATTAGTCAAACTTAAAAATGGAAGCCCGATAGAAAGAAAATTAGCTCATTTACAATTGCTTCTTCCTACTATATTTATCTAATATTCATCTAATTATACCATATAGACCCTAAAGATAAACATTTAAAAAATAAAGGTTAAAAGTTATATGTTGTTTTTCACTGTAATAAAATGCAGTAGCCTTTTAATCATGGGATAAAACAGGTGAATTTTTTAAAGCATACTTTGTTTTAAATAGGCAACCATATTGCATTGTTAGCTAAATAACTAAAATTGACTGTTCTATTCAAAATTTGAACTGATTCTTCACACTATAGTATATATATATATTTTTATCCAAATGTTGGCAGAAACATAGCATTACTTTAAAAAAAAAAAAAGAACATAAGTTTATAAAAGAAAACCTGAGACTCTAATCTAGATCCAACCCCTAATGGTTGTTTGAATGAAAAAATATTTATAGATACGTATAGACTTCTTCATCTGTAAAACCCGAACCGGTTCCTTTCTCCCCAAGCAGCCCTCGAACAGGCCCCTTTGTTAGGATATTTTCTGGAAGAAGGATCTTTTTGTTAGCAGGTTTTTAAACATCACGTACAGGAAGTTGGAGAGGTTAAACAAGTAGAATCAATAGAAAGCAGAACTATAGCTCTGCAGAGTCAGACTGAGAGTCCTTGCCGCTCTTTTCCATTTCCCTCTCTCATCTGCAGTCCCTCCAGAGAATGCCCTCCTTCCCCCAGTGCAACTCCGGGCATCTGCGCCACCCATGCCGCTCAGAGTGCTCCTTATGCAGACACCAAGTCCAGAGTCGCCCGGGGCCCCAAACATTTCTCTTAGGGCAGATGGGCTCCTTTGGAACCAGCTGTCACGCACATCTCGAGTGCGGCTGTCTGGAAAGTCCGTCTGTGGGCTGTGCCTGGCTGTTCATGCGGAAGCGAGCGTGCCCTGTATGTAAACAGACATGAGCTACGTTTTCCTCCTCGGTACCTGGCAGACGTTTCCACTCTCTCCGGAGCTGCCACACAGCCATGCGAGCGCGGTCTACCGGGCAGGATCCGAAGGCCTGGTTCCACTCCGAGCTCTCCGCTTTGCTGTGTCACCTTGACGGTGACTCAAAGTCTTGGTTGAACTTTCACCGCCTTCACCCGTTAGGAGGGGACACCACTGAGGCGTGTTAGCGAGATGCAGGCGTAGAAAGTGCACACGTGTCTGCACACGACGCAAGCGCTCACGTGTCAGACACGGGGTGCGGCCTGCAAGATGGGTTGCTGCCGCAGCGTCTGAGCAGCGAGCCTTCTCTCCGTGCAGCCGAGACAGATCTCTCCCGTCTCGGCGTCTCCCGTCTCTCTGCTACGTTCGAAGCTCTTAACGGTGAGATGTAGGGAGAAGAGGTGGATTTCCTGCACCTCAGTCTACTCCAAAGACGGTCAGATTGCACTTGATAAAAACTTGCCAGGCTTTGCTAGTGACCTCTGTTTTCTTTTCTTCTTCTGTTAATATTTCCTACAAATTATGTAATGCCTCGAGGATATCTTACTCATATAGACACACAGAACATAATTGTTCAGTTGAGTTAACTCCTAAAGGAGATGTACAATATAAAACGAACCTGTGTAATGGCATGTAATGTAAAATTTAAGCTAAGAAAACAAGTCTTCACTCTGAAGTAAATTGCCAAAGGTAGTACTAACATTAATGGGTGGAATTTAATAACTTAATTGGTTAAGGTAAGAAAGTGCCTTTTATTTCCGGAAAAGTAAAAACTTTCCAAAAATGTGGACATTCCTAGTCTCAATTCTTCAGAAGTACTTTTGAATCCTAATAAGGAATGGGGGAAATTCGTCGCAGGCATTCAATACGCTTAGTGAAGTGTGGACGAGGAATTCAGTCAAGGCACGTGGGTAGAAAAATCTTTAATCTCAGTATCATTGCCACAGGTCAGCAAAAACAATGCTTTTATTTTGAATAGATAAGTCCTTTTCTGAGGAATTCTCAGGCAACATCTCTAGTAACCAAAACTTAATAGAGTGGAGCCACTTCATATAGCTGGCACAACCCTCCTCACCGCGCCCCCCAACCCCGCTCCTTTTTAACTGCTCAGATCAAAGAGAACAATAAGAAAATAGGCTTTTCACAGGAACTTATGTGAATGAGTTTCTGCACTGTTCTAAAATTAAATGATATTCAGCCCAAGCTGCCATGGCTCCCATATTTACTTCTACATTGTTTTATGACAAAGCTAAAAAATGATGAACCCGTTTCCGATTTAGAAAAGATTGTCTGCTCTTCGTGTTGTAATAAACTTGTACCTACGAACAAGAATCAGGAATGGGATTGAAGTTCAGAGTCCTGCTTCCCACGAGGGTTCTCTGAGGGTGTCTGAGTTAACAAGACGCCCTTTCTCATATAGGTGTCAGAAATTGAGAGGTAAAACTTGCGTATTTTTCTTGTGTGTGTTTAGATGCCACTGCCTAGGAAAATGTGTAGAGAAGAAGCATGTTGAATGTGCTTTCCTTTAAAACTGATGTTATTATGGCAACCAGCTGTCACCGAAATTACAGTATCAGTGCCCTACCTTGGAAAGATACGTATTGACAAGACTTTCATGTTTGGTTTGGGGACGATAAATCTTGAATTGCAAGCTGCCACGTTAAAAATAAGATTCCCCACTTTGGGGACATTTTAACCTATTTATAAGTTAGACCCATTTCCTTTTATATTAAGGCAAATAAGTTGACTCATACATTTTAGAAGGATTTTAAACAGTAAGAACGTAAAGGACTCTAATCATGATACGACTTCAACCTGAAATACCTGTTCTTACTAGAGTTTTTCTGAATGTCCAGTGCTGTCTCCATTGATGAGCCTAACTTAATACTTACAGCAATTAGGAACTCCTAAGTCTTCCGCTCAATTTACGTATTATGCCTCATTTTGATGGCAGCTGCTGCTAAAGACACATAGTGTGTAGGCTGGGTTATTTGATTGAAAATTTAAGCAAAGGGAATTGTTCTCACTCTGAAGGGTACTACCTTCCTCACACGTGTAAATGAGATGACATGATGACATTTCCCCACAACATCACAATTTAGTCCAAATAGATAATGCCCACATTTCCACGTCGCTTCCCCTTCGGCGTGGCCTGCTATTTCAGCCTGCGTGGGACGCAAACTCCTGTTCAGCCGTACGTTTGTCAGTGTTTGCACAGCGGTGCTGTGTCCATACATCCTTCTGGGACCCTGTCCGCTGATACAGGCTGGTTCAGATTCAGATTTAACCTCTGTCAGAGATGTAGTTTTATTTTTAACTTGCTGCCTGATGAATATTTAGTATGTGCTATTTAATTATCATAAGCATTTCTACATAGCTATGAGATAAGACATATTTTATTAATGTTAAACATGTTCACAAATAAATATCCTTCAAAAGGTATCCTTGGGTTGGTTGTGAGCCCTATTCATCTGAGCCCAAAGCATACAGCTTCTGTGCCTTTCCGGGTGACAATAAGAAACTTTTGTCATTTTGGCCCAGAATCGCTGAGACTAGAAATACCCAAGCTTGTACTCCAAAGTGATAGTTCTTGTTATCCTGTTTCTATAGAGGATAGTTCAATAATAACTAACCCAAATGTTTTCCTCTGGTTCTACCCTCAGTGCTACACAGTGGAGATCACTCTTGTTGGGATTGGGGGTGGTAGGCGCCAGACGACAAGTTGCCTGGTGCGCAGGCACCATGTCGCGCCAACGTAGATGACAAACCTTTGCCCTCCTGAGCCGTGAGGTCCGGTACAGCAGCCCTCAGCCTCACGTGGCTGCTGAGCATCTGAACTGCGGCCAGTCCGAATTGAGAAGGGCCATCGTTGTAAAATTGCACTGGATCTTGAAATCTTATTACCAAAAAATAGAGAATGCAAAAAAAAAATTAATCATTTTTACATTGGGTATATGCTGAAATGCAATATGTTAAGATATACTGGCTAACTAAAACAGATGAAGAGTTAATTTTACCTGTTTCTTTTTACTTTCAAAATTTGGCTTCTAGACAATTTAAAACAACATGTGAGATGCACATTATACTTCTGCCCGGAGTTACCCCCGGTAGCAAGGGGGGGCCGTGCCGAGAGGCTCCAGGGAGCTGAGGGCCCGGCGCCCACGGCGGGGGCCTGAGTGAGGCCCCCCGAGCTCACTGGAGCATCTGCTCGGGGAAGGGAAGGCACAAGTGCCCCTCTAGTTAGATTTCCTGCCCCTCTCAAGTTCATGCCTCTCTCAGATTCATTTAGGGTTAGTTAAATAGGGTATGCTGTGACTCCACTGGTTATAGATTTCTGATCTGAATGTGTTTGTTCCTCCAGGTACCCTAAGGATAATTAAAATGCTGATTGTAAAATCGCCATTGCAATAGCTAACGATCCCACAGCGCTAGGTGCGCTAGGTGCACGGCCTGTCCTACATGCTTTACAGGATAACTCATTCCATCCTCTCCGCGGCCGGAGGAGAAGGCACTGCTATTACCTGCCTTTGCACAGAGGGCCCGGGCTGTGGGGTTCAGCACCGGCCCTGAACCCACAAAGCAATACTGCCCTCAGAAATAGCAGCTACTTCTTGACTTTCTTAGCACCATGTCTATGCCCGCCTCTACATAGCATAACAACGTTAGTCTTATCTCTTAGATGTTTTTCAGTAATTTAACTTACTGAACAAAACTTAGATGTTTTCCAGTAATTTAACAGCTAAGGCATTCAAAAATATTTACAGTCTCAAAAACTGGGGGTCTACTGGAAGGTTGTAAATGATCCAAATCCTTGTTTTCCCCTAAAGTTACCCAAAAAGCATGCTTGAGGTCAGTCTGCTTATAAATGGAGCTAGTCTAATTTCAGTTAAATAGGAAGCGTTAACCCTCTACTGTCTGCCAAACACTGTGCCGAGTGCCAGGGAAACGGGGGCAAAGATGACAGACTCTCAGCCCACAAAGAATTCTGCCCAAAAGGCAGATTTCTCAATGTGTGGAGGGCCGTGTGTCCACGGTGCTGTGGGAAGAAGAGAGGGACATCTTTGGGGTGCAGAGTGGAGACGTAGCATTAAAGGCATCCTCTGGGGGGGAAGGGGGTGCTCGAGCCAATCTAGAATACACCGCGCTGGTTTCCTTGGGTTTCATTCCTGTCGATAACGGTGCCTGCCGGCTCCAGTGTGCGCACCGTGTGCCCTTGGGCTGTTGGGAGCTCGCTGATCCTGTTCCTGTGGTTTCAGGTGCCAGCAAGGTCAACCTTGTGAAGATTGCGTCCACGGCCTCCAGCCCACGGGACACAGCCCTGGCTGCCGTCATCTGCAGCGCCCTGGCCACCGTCCTGCTGGCCCTGCTCATTCTCTGCGTCATCTACTGTAAGAGGCAGTTCATGGAGAAAAAGCCCAGCTGTAAGTTTGGGGCTCGTTATATGAAAATATTTCTTAGCACCTGGGTGGAGCGCACGTATTACCATTGTCGGGCGTGTGTTCGGCAAGAGGCTCGGCCAGAGCAAGCATCCCCGAGCTGTTCGAGGACAGAGGGCACATGAAGGTACAGCTGACCCTTGAGCAACTTGGGGCCTGGGGGCACGGCTGAATGTCCACATGTAACTTTGACTCCTCAAAAACTTAACCGCTGATAGCCTGCTCTTGACTGGAAGCCTTACCAATAACATAAGCAATCAGTTGACACATATTCTGTATGTTGTATGCATTATATACTGTATTCTCACAATACAGTAAGCTGGAGAGGAGCAGATGTTATTAGGAAAACCACCAGGAAGAGAAAATGTGTTCAGTATTCATTGAGTGGAAGTGGATCATCTTAAAGGTCTTCCTCCTCATCATCTTCACGTTCAGAAGGCTGAGGAGGAGGAGGAGGAGGAAGAAGGGGACGGGTTGGTCTGGCTGTTGCAGGGGTTGCGGAGGTAGAAGAAAGTCCAAGTGTAAGCGGACCGCACAGTTCAAACCGTGTTGTTTAAGCGTCAGCTGTTGACCTCACCGGGGCAGCAGTACTTTATAAGGGAGATTGACAAAGCAGTGGTGTCCCTATGCCACATGGCAAAAATAAAAATGGTTCCCAGTTCTGGCAACATAAGTACCCTACATGTTGAACTTTCTTTTTTTCTTTTTTCTTTTTTTTTTATTTCAGCATATTACTGGGGTACAAATGATCAGGTTACATATATTGCTTTTGCCCCTTCAAGTCAGAGCTTCAAGCGTGTCCATCCCCCAGACAGTGTGCACCGCTCCCATTAGGAGTGAATATACCCATCCCCCCCACCTGCCCGACATCATATGAATGTTACTACTAAATGTGCACATAACTGTTGATCAATTAATACCAATATGATGTTGAGTGCATGTGGTGCTTGTTTTTCCATTTTTGTGATAACTTTGCTTAGTAGAATGGGCTCCAGCTCTATCCAGGATAGTACGAGAGGTGCTAGATCCCCATTGTTTTTTGTGGCTGAGTAGAAGAACTCCATGGTATACATATACCACATTTTATTAATCCGCTCATGTATTGATGGGCACTTGGGTTGTTTCCACAGCTTTGCAATTGTGAATTGTGCTCCTATAAACATTCCAATGCATATGTCTTTTTTATAGAATGTCTTTTTTTCCTTTGGGTAGTAGATGATGCCCAGTAATGGAATTTCTGGATCAAATGGTAGTTCTACTTGTAGCTCTTTGAGGTACTCCGTATTTCTTTCCATAGAGGTTGTACTAGTTTGCAGTCCCACCAGCAGTGTATGAGTGTTCCTATCTCTGTATATCCATGCCCACATTTATCGTTTTTGATAAACTTTTGGTAAAACTTTTGATAAAAGCCATTCTCACTGGAGTTAAGGATATCTGATTATGGTTTTGATTTGCATTTCCCTGATGTTTAGAGATGTTGAGCATTTTTTCATATGTTTGTTGGCCATTAGTCTGTCTTCTTTTGAAAAGTTTCTGTTCACGTCCTTTGCCCACTTTTTAACAGGGCTATTTGATTTTTTTTCTTGCTGATTTTCCTGAGTTCTATATAGATTCTAGTTATCAAGCATCTTGAACTTTCTTAACAAATTATTTCATCTTTATGCCTCCCCATGTAAGAAGAAATAATCAAATTTTACAACCATAGCAGGCTTTTTCTTTACAAATACAAATGCTAGAATGGTACCGATCTGCATGATGGCGTTAACGGGGCTCCCTTCCGGAGGAACCTGTGTTCACTGATGGAATTCTCGTCCCTCGTTTAGGGTCTCTGAGATCCCAGGACATTCAGTACAACGGTTCTGAGCTGTCATGTTTCGACAGACCTCAGCTCAACGAATACGCCCACAGAGCCTGCTGCCAGTGCCGCCACGATGCGGCCCAGACCTGCGGTGAGTGCGGCCGTGAGGGCCCGTTGGGAGAACCGAGGCTTGCAGAAATTGCGGTGCAAAGAATCGTCCATGTTTCACTCAGCTCACAGTGAGGTCTCCGTGCTTGGTTTTCTGGTTAAACCTAATGTTGTTAAATTATTCTCCACCGTCCCCTGTTGTGTGAGTGTGTTTGAGTCTCTCAAGTATTACAAAGAAGATAAGCATCTTGTTAAAATTCTAGAACTTCTCAGCAACTTTTTGGGCAGGTTTGCCTTTCTTGTTTTCAATCAGTTCATTTAAAATCATGCCAGCCGTTTGCAGTGTAGGGGTCTGTAGCCTTTGTCGTCTGGTCAATTCAAACTGAAGGTTAATGTATCTGTTTTAATGGTTTGATTTTTTAAATTAGAGAAAAGGGCGGTAAGAGGTCCATGACAAGGTTCTCCACAAACCATAATGGCCTCTTGGATTATTGACAGAAATGAAAGTTTAGGAAAGAAGTTCAAAGGGAAACCTGTCTCTAATTTGAGCAAACAACGAGCTAAAGGTAATACCAACTTTCTCTGCCACAAATTTATAGTCCTCATCGGAGGTTTCTACACTGCCACGTCCCCTTGTCCTCACCTTATGACCTCACCTCCTCTGCAGATTATTTTGATGTTCAAATGCCCCCAGGTTTGGCCAGAGGACGCCCCTTGAGGCTGGCGGCTCATGTGTCATTATGACGTGTCCTCATTATTCTTTCTAGCCCTTTCTTACTTTCTGGCATCCAAAGAAGTTCCAGGCTCGCCGTGTACTTTCCCTAGAGTCAGTTATTTCTACAGTGCCTTTTGCTTTTAAATAATTTTAAAATATCTCATAGTGAGCGTGGCAGGTCTGTGGATCAGGAGAGCTCGCCGGTCGGGGCAGCGTATGTGCAGAGCACCCAAGCCAGGGGCCTCGGTCCGGCGGACTGTGACACAGGGCGCCAGGTGTCCATCCTGCTTAGCATGGTTTGCAATCGCAGCCCAATATTTGACATTCGTTTTTAAAAGGGGAGATACTAGTTTCACAATGTTGGTTTTTTTTTCCCCCTAAAAAATAAAGAGAAATTCCTCATGGAAAGTTTGGATGCACAAACTTATATAAATATATGTAAATGTATTCTTTCCTCAAGTCTTTTCATCTTGGTATATATGCGTATCTTTGTGTCTGTGTGTTTTTATATGCTTACGGTTCTAAAAAAGCCAGAATTATATGTATACGTATATGCATATAGAGTTAGAAGTCTAGAAGGCTGATCACCAAAATGTTGACAGGGTTCATTTCCAGCTTATAAGATTGAGAAAGCTTTATTTTTAAATTTCTTAATCTAATCTCTGTCTTTATATTATTTCTTTCTTGAGTAAGCTCATATCCTCTTTGTAAGCAAAAACATATATGACTTCAGTGAACATAAAGGTTTGTAAAGCTATGCACATGTCTACTGATTCCTCAAGTTACATTCCTAGTGATAAAAGGAAATGGTATGTCTGTGTATAGTTAAAGGATTCAGACTTTTTATGTTCTTGTCTGTGTTGCTGGATGTTCAGCAGGACAGTTGTCCTCTTCTTCCTGTCATCAGCAGTGCACAGGTCTCCTTCATATGCCCTCTCACAGACTGCTTTATTACTTTCTGTCACTTTTTTATTGCAGTAAAATACATATAACATAATGTTATATGTATTTACCATCTTGCCATCTTAACCATGCTTAAGTGGATGGTTTGGTGGCATTAAGTACGTTCTCGTTGCTATGCAACCATCACCACCATCCATCTCTGGGATTCTTTTCGTCTTCCCAAACTGAAACTCTGTACCCGTTAAACAGCTCCTCATCCCCTTCCTTCCCTGCCAGTTTCTGGCAACGCCCATTCTACGTGTGTGCGTATGAGCTTGTCTATTCTTGGTATCTCACATAAGTGGTTCACCACTCTTTTTAAATAAGAAAAACAGAGAACCTCATACCCCTTTCCCCCAAAAAACGTCACCCAAAGGGGACGAGCTAAATTTCCAAGCAGAACCGCGTTGAGCTGGGATTAAAGAGAAAGATCGAGAGAAAGGCACCGTGCTCACACTCTGCTGGCTCCCCAGGGCCTGTGCACCTGATCCCGTCCTTGTGCTGTGAGGAGGCCTGCGGCGCCGGGCGGGCGGCTCTGGGCTGTGGGACGCATTCTGCGGCCGAGCTTCAAGAGAGGTAACCAGGTCCTTTTAATCAATAACGTCATAGCCCCTTGTGCAAATATGCATGCTGCCAATTTACCAACTGTCATGTGAAGCTATGGGAACATCTCTTTTTAAGTATTATTAATGACATTTCTGGATATTGGAGGGGGCAACCTTTTGGTGAGACTTGAGCAGGTCTCTCAAAGTGGCTAATATTCAGTTCAACATTCTTTATACTTTATTGTCCATTGATTTTACTTTTGTCTTACATTTGTGATTTGTGACCTCTGTCATCTTAAGTCATTTTTTAACATGCCATGTACTCATGACATAATATTTTACAATTTTAGAACAGCAATCAAGGACACTCAGTTAAGACTCAGGAAACGGGCCAGGTGGGGTGGCGGGTGGATCGCTCAAGGTCAGGAGTTCGAAACTAGCCTGAGCAAGAGTGAGACCCCTGTCTCTACTAAAAATAGAAAAGACATTAATTGGCCAAATAAAAATATACAGAAAAAATTAGCCGGGCATGGTGGCACATGCCTGTCGTCCCAGCTACTCGGGAGGCCGAGGCAGGAGGATCACTTGAGCCCAGGAGTTTGAGGTTGCTGTGAACTAGGCTGACACCACGGCGCTCTAGCCCGGGCAACAGAGTAAGACTCTGCAAAAAAAAAAAAAAAAAAAAGACTCAGGAAACATTTGAGACATTGGATTAAGTATAACTATATTAATTAGAAGTAGGTGTAAAAATTCAGTTTTAAAGTAAGTGGAGTAATTTGACTTACTGTATTGAGGCGAGTTTATCACAACAGGAAGCAGTAGAATTCTAACTCAGCAAATTGCTATTTCATCTGGAAGACTTAAAATGACAATGCAATGCACTGCTTTGTGGAAGTGGCTTTTCTCCCGCAGAACTAACTCACGCACCTTTGGATCCTGTGCAGGAGCGCGGCCCCGGCCGGGGAGGCGATGCCCGCGTTCTTCGGGTCCCTCTCGAGGTCCGTCTGCGGCGAGTTCTCGGACGCCTGGCCTCTGATGCAGAACCCCATTGGTGGCAGCGACGACATCTCTTTTTGTGACTCTTATCCCGAACTCACTGGAGAGGACGTTCATTCTCTCAATCCGGGAAATGAAAGCTCAACGCCTTTGGATTCAAACAGCGGTCAGGATTTGGTTGGCGGAGCTGTTCCAATTCAAGCTCATCCCGAAAACTCTACAGAAACTACTGATTTATCTAGATACAACCCCACGCCGGCAGGCCCAGCCCTAGCTCAGCACGCACTGACCACGGGAAGCCAGCCGGACCAGGAGAGCGGCGCTGTCGCTAACCTACCCGCGCACAGGGCTCTCCAGGTAAGGCAGTGACAGATTTCAGCGTCAGCGCTGACTTACCGGAGCTTTCTTCCTACCATAAAATTTCGAGGAACCTGATGAGATTTTCCATCTTTCATAATTTCTTTTATGTTGCAGAATATGTTTTAAAATAAATGTCAAGAGTCTTTTTTTTAAAAAAAAAAAAACAGCTGATCTATAAGACTGTAATGAGCCGCTGCATTCTTTTATTCTTCTTTGTAAACACAGCTACTTAGCACATCGCCTCTGCCCCTTCCCTGGTTGGAGAGGGAGGAGTTGGGGTTAGGGTTAGGGTTAGGGTTAGTTATGGGAACTTCTCCAGCAAGGCCTGACCTTCGTTTTTTCCTGTGATAGCCTCGTGCCCAATCCATTCACTGCCAAAGCGATTCGAATGTAGGTCATCTAAAGCTACTCCTTCCCCTCCCTCCTCACTTACTGCTGGTTTTTGGATCACCCTGCCTTGACTAATTGGTTAATTTGGTTGGAAGTTGATGGGTGGTTGTGATCTGAGAGCAAATGTGCCAGGAGGCCCTCCCAGGTAGAGGAGTCTAAAATGAGGTTGGGGGCAGGCGGCAACTGCAGAGCGGGGACTTTCTGGAGGGCCGCCAAGCTGGAGGCCACAAGGCCTCAGGGACGAGCGGGCACCGTCTCCCTGCTTTCTCCTCCAGGTGAGCACAGGCCTTTTGAATGTGAGTTAATGTTCCTAAACATTTCCTTAAATGGAAGTGCACATGTTGATAGTATAAAGTTCTTCTGGAAAAATGATGTCAGCCTTGAGTATAAAAGGGCGGAGTCACAGCTACAGATGGGCCCCAGGCCCCCAGCCCCTCCCCCTGCACGGACAGGGTGGCTCTCGCTTCTTGTCCCCGCCTGCCCCCGTCGGGGCCTTGGGTGCTGAGGGACGGCTCTGCACCTGCTCCTGAGTGGGGCTGCCGTGAGATCCTGCATCCTTGCCTAATTCTACCAGAAACTTCGTCTAAAGTCAAAGGGTAAATGCAGATGTGTTCCTTTCAAGATCAGTACGTAGGTTACATGTTGATCTAAGTCTGCAATACTTGTTTTTCTAACTGCAAAAAAATTCTGTAGAGAATTTATAGAGGATTCTACAGAGAAAACATTTGTTAGCTTTTGGTGGGGGGGGAAATGTTGGTTTTGTTCTCAAAATGGCGAAAGTGTAGGAGAGAGAAGTACAGGGAGGGAAAACAAACAAATTTAGGCAGTTTAAACTCTGAGCTCCGCTTGGAGCCAGGAAAGACTGTTTACGGATCATGTTCTTAAATTTTTATGATAGTAAATAAGAAAAGACTTAATTAGTCTGGTTGAGTGTGAGTCTCAGGAATGAACTGTGCCCCACAAAACCCAGGGACTGAGAATGCCCTGGGAGAGAGATCACCGTTCTCCTAAATCCAACATTACTCGGCTAAAAGAAGGAGATCATGTGCTAACTATCATACAAGATTGGAGGAACAATTCAGATATCAGGTGGTTTGACCATGGCAGGTACAGGCTGTTCACTCACACCCCTGTCCCAAAATTGTCGTGTGTTTCCCTGGTTCTAACATGTAGCGTATTCTCACTGAAGGCTACTTCATTAGTAGGGGATCTGACATGCTGTGATTTCTTAAAGCCTTTAGCATAAGATGCAACGCAAATAAAGATCATAGTGTTCATAAATACCCTTTCTATAAAGAATTCTGGCTCTTCTGAGCTCAGTACAGGGACAGTTTGTAACAATGTTTCTATATTAACTAGCTTTCACACAAACAGCTAACTTTGCATACAAGTCTCTACGATATGTGCATCGAGGGTTTTTAACTCAGGGCGACGGACTCCCGTTTCCTGAGAAGGTTCCCTACGCAGGCCTGTCTCGCTGCAGCCCACAGGTGTTCATGAGACGGAGGCTGAGGGCGAAGAGAGGCTTCTGGAAAGGAGCTGCTCCCCTCCGATTCTCCCTTAGGTCAGTTAACTTCATCTAACAAACCCAAGGTTTAGGCAGGCAGTGTGAAGTCAATTCTAACACCTAAGCTAATCGGTTTAGATGATGAAAAGTGACCTTCTCAAATGGAAACAGTCACTTTCAACCCATTCCACATAAACTAAGGTCGTGAATCTGACATTTCATAGGCTATATGAAACTTTTCTGGAAGGAAATGAAAGTTATACCTGGTCTTCAGTCTTCACAAAACCACCATTCACCGTGAAAATAGCACGATGCATTCCTGGTTTCTTGTTAGAGGTCCGCAATCTTGTAGGCTGCAAATTCAACCCCTCAGTCTTTGAAGTCACTCTTGTAGCAGAGAAGGTCTAGTATACGAAAGACACAAGTGCCATGAGTCTGCTGGAGTTCTTTTATTCACCGAGGTTTCAACTTACAGCTCCCTGGCACAGAAGCAACTGGCTGAAAGGCTAAAATGCCATCAGTTTGGTTCAGATTTATTGTTTTCCCCCGGAAGCTGTGCTCGGTGCAGACTGTGCTTAGTCTATAGCCTAGCGGAGGAGTGTTCTTTGGCTCCAGACACACGCTCTACTGCGGAAAGAAGCAAGTCCTTTAGGCTTCCTAAAACAGAAACAGAAAACAGCTGTAAAAACAATACCTCACAAATTAAACCTACTAAATTGTAATTGTAAAATCATAGTGCATAGCTTTTACTAATAGCATACATGAATTTAATAACATACTGAAAGAAATTCATTCAAACAGTACTCAACATCCATGTACCATGTACTGTGAGAGTTAAACTCACAGTCTCCCATATTTGCAAAGATGCGAATGTAACCGTAGCCAATCACAATGAATTAACCCATTCTTTTGCTGATTATCAACCTCATCCAAACATTTAAAGCTGTCTCTTCTGTGTTGTGCTCCTTTAATACATTTTTAGGTAAAGATTTTAGGATTCTTCATCCCTTTTTCCAAAGAACAAAGATAATTATGGTTAGTGCCATTCTTTATCTGCCAGTTTAGTCTTTGAATGTGAAGCTTCCATTAAACTATTAAATTTAGAAATAGTTGGTATGAGATTTCTCTACAGCGCTCTCCCTGGAATAGTCACAGGTCTTCATGGGGCAAATGTTCTCAGCACAGTGGAGCTTCAGACTTGCCCTTATCCACAAAGGCCTGGATCTCAGGGAGGAGGGGGCATCAGACAACTGAACATTACTGGAAGTGAGTAAAACCTTAATTTCACGCATTCGCCTTCACTAACTTACCACAAATTTGGCACTGGTGACATATCCAATACGTTTACGCAAAAACAAAACAAAAAAATGTTTCTAGGTCTAAGGAAATTACCTAGAAATAAAGCTTCTGAAATACTTTCAATAATAGGATACAGTTTTATCAAACATGTTGATCGACTGACGTGATAATAACGACCATCTTAACCCTCCTTGTGAGAGCAAATTATGTCATTTTGTCACAAGGAAAAAGTAGAGATTTCAATAGATTGAGAAACTAGAACCCAGGTCTCTAGTGTCTCTTCTTTCTGTTTGTTCATGTGAACATTTAAAATGTTGCTTAGAAAACCGCCTCAAGAAAAGCTTTTCCTGTCAGTAAACAGGCTGGCTCTCATTCTCCCAAATACCTCAGTTCTGTTGCCTTCTAGGGAGATGTGTACAGGAAGAATCTGATTAAAATTGAGTCACATAGACTAAAGGCGGCTCTTACACTATTTGCTTTATCCTGAACCGTACCAGTCATCCTCAGATTCTGGGTGGTCTTAAACACCACACCAAGGAAATAAGTGTGTGAAAATACAGTTTTTGGAAACAAATGCATCATGCATTGAAATCACAGTCTCACACCAGTAAGAGAAACCAAGGTGCTGTTGTGGCTCTAGCTGCTCCTTATACGTCTCCCACGTAGACACACAGCGCCTTCCTGAACTACGAATGAGCCACGTCACGGAGCCGAGCTACACTAAACATGAACTCGTGAAATGGTTAATAATCATATAAGTGAGCTGCTGAAATCAATTCTTTATGAGAATTAAATGTGTTCCCTACCTTGGAAAATTAGCCTGTGGGGGAAATGTGAATTGCTTTTTAGAAATTAATAGATTGGAAAACAAAACAGAACAAAACTAGTTGAGTAGAAACACTTGGCTGACCTTGAAATGAAGAAGAGGACCCGGCCCCCCCAGAGGTCTGCAGTTGCCGCTGTCTCCTGTTTTCTTTTGAATTCACTACCTCTCACAGATCAGTAAGTAAACACAACTAAAGGGAAAGTGGTTTTCAGGATCTGGAAAAGATTATCCCTTAAAATGGGCTTCAATATTATTCATTGTTTTTAATTGTAGGGTAAAAATTGAAATGGTTTACATTTTAACAATTCTTTTTCTGAATTCAGAATGTTATACTTAGATTTATTTAAATTATCTAATAATTGTAACACTCTCGAAAAGCTAATAAAAACCTTTCATTAATGAATCACACTGTGCAACTTGAATGTAACATTTTCTCATCAGATTCATTTTAGATGTAATCACAACTTTCTTTTCATAATGACTTGAGTTGAAAGTATCTTTACATAGATGACAATTACCTTGACTATCTTTGAAAAGGAATTAATATGTCATTGTATGCCAATCTTATTTATATCACAGACTTGGGACAAATTACAAAATTAAGGTGAGTGGTAATTCTGTTTATTGACAAGACTCTGAAAAACTGTCGTTAGCTGGTGACACAGTTACTCGTGTATTCAGTAACTTTCCTCTAACTTACCCATAACAATAGATGGGGAGGTACAGGTACAGCACCTGTACCTGAGTAACTTTCCCCTAACAACACATGTGCAGCACCTGTCCGATAGGTATGGGTAAAAGTAACCCAATCAGAGTAGCCCGCAGGGCATCTGATTCCTCCCTTGCTGAAGGGGTGGGAGTCACCCCCACCCATTTTCTGCACCCTCTCACCTCAAGTGTGTGCTCTACTGGTCTGTAGGACTAGTCACCTGGTCCCGGCTG